CTGGGAACTCCATGGCAAAACCCACATTGCGCTGGCTCTTTACCATCGCACAAACCCACAGCAACAACTGCTTTGCCGCGCACGACGTGTCCTGGTCCACCCTTTGCTGTTGTAGTACATGTAGTCCTGGCACGCCAAACGGGTGGTCCTTGGTTCTTTGGTGAACGGCATTCGGTCCTCGAGCCGGGGTCAAGGAAGTAGTCCATGTAGTTTCCGGTGGACTACCCACAATGTCAGCGATCTTTCCTTTTGCGGCAGCCCATAGGAGTAGTTGATAGATCGGCGCAGAGCCATTGATGTTCATCATTTTCGAGTTTTCCTCATCAACATCGAACAACACCTTTCCTCCCCGGGAGATCACGCGCTCAAAGTCGCTGCTTTCATCATTCTTCCCTTTGTACAACCTGATCACCCAGTCGTTGGACGCCATCAACAAACGCCTTTTTCGACGAGTGAGCGGAAGCTTCTTCAAGTAGTCAGGGCCGCCCTTGATGTCGAAGCTCGTAACCATCATTGCCTGCACATCGGCCGGAAGGTCCTTGGTGAACGGGGCCAGCAAGATAGCACGATGTAACAAACCACGATGGCCCGTCTCCAGGAACTCCTTGAGCACCTCATCCCATGCACGCTTCTCTTCCTTCTGAAGCACTTCCAACCTTGCCGACAACGAAGAGACCTGGTCATTGAGAGCCCTCATCTGAACCATCTCCAGCTCTCTTATCAGGCGGTGAGCTTCTCTTGTGCTCACTTCAGGACAGTTGTTCCGAATTCGCACACTCACCTGACCCCGTTGTGGGTGAACCAACTTAACTCCATCTTCTTTCCAATGCAGCGAACATCCTAAGTCCTTGATGACAGCACCCAGTGGAACGATGGGCTGGGTATCGTCCGCCTCACCAGGTTTCAACAAGACCGTTCCCTGGCCATTCTGACGTAGAACCCGTTCTTCTTCTCCCGCAAGCGTCACCTTCACGGGGATGCTATCCTCATACTCCGCCTCCGAAGCCACCCGCATTGGATGTGAGGCTCCACTATCCAGTAGGCCACCGTTGCCCTCGTCATTGCCATCATCCAGTTGGGAAGACATAGCCTTGATTCTCACCCACAACGGATCATCCTTGACCTCCACCCGCTTAATGGTTGTGACTGACGTCATAGCATTGAGCATTTTTCCCACATCCGCCAAGACCTCCTTTAGCTCATTGGTGGTAGCAGCCGGTGTAGAAGTTGCATCGCCACCGGTTCCATCCGTCTGGGGCTTCTCGTCCACTCTCACCGCTCTTGTGGTTGTAGTAGAGGAAGAGGTCCCAGCTCCTTGTTGCTCAGCACCGGGCCTTGAAGGTTGTGAGGTCTTAGGGCTCGGGGTTGTCGTAGGGGAAGCTGCTTTCTTGTTTGGGCAATCCTTGGCCATGTGTTTGCCTCCACAAGCTAGGCATCTCGATGACTTCTCTTTCTCCAAACCTTCCCAAGAGTGAAGAAAAGGGCACTTTGAGGTTCTTGCACATCCCCGGTGCGTTTTGCCAAAAAACCGGCACGGAACATCCTTCTTGTCGCCCATGGGGCTAGGAGCCTCCTGGCCCGCAGTGGTACCCGAGGTAGTAGATGACGTAGTGGGCCTCTGAGGAGGAGGAGCATTGTTGTTGCCATTGGTTCTCATCGGCTTGATCTTTGGCTCTGGTTTTGGGGGTGCAGCGCTCGTAGTTGGAACCATCAACGCAGACGAAGCTACAGCCAACGATTCACATTCTGCCATTAAGTGCTTGTAGTAGGTATCGATGCTGCTGTAAGATGGCCTGGTATCCACTTGAAGCGTTGATCTCATCAAGTTTGTCCTGAAACCCATATCTGCATTCTGCTCAACGATCTTTCGGACCATAGTAGACAGTCCCTTGCTTAAGATGGTGGGGTCCGGCGTCGCCAACGATAACTCCTTGCACCGCCGTAGCCAGCGGTCCCACGATCTCAAAGCGACCGCACGTTGAGGATCAGACTCCTCAGGTGGATTCTGAAGGTTACTCAAGATCCTTGAGCGCTCAGCTTCACCTCCAGGTTGGTACAAGGTCATCAGGCGAAATAGCAAAGAAACCGTCGATCCCGTCAACCGTCTGGCCACCATCTCTGAACGAACATTCTCGTGCAAAGCCAGAACTATCATCGAAGCTGCCCGGCTGTTGACCCTTCCCCACCTTCCGTCCTCCAGTGAAGAGTCCTTCGGTGGCGAGACAGTCAATCTTTCCAAGGGGCCAGCATCAGTCCAAGCCTGGTAGGCCTTGGTGGCTTGATCGCACACTTGTTTCCACCACACCGCCGAGCCATCTGACAGGTCCGACATAGGGGCTGCCAGCATTTCCAACCAATCCGCGATGTCAATCGAGCTCGACTCCGCCTTGACAGGAGGGAGAACCGGTAATTGCGAAACCCCCGGCTTCACTGCTTCTGGCGATTTTTCCCCATCCTTGGAAACCGACATCTGCTTCAACATTGCCTGCTGAAGCTGAGCCATTCCGCCTGCTAACAGCGCCATCTGGTCCTGAGTCTTTGGGTTCCCAAGCCATTGCTGCGCCGACGACACACCTTGCGGCTCTTCTGTGACCTGACCTTGGTTCCTTGGTAGACCACGATCCTCTGGACGACCACCCACGCCTGGTACTTCTTGGTATACGGAAGGCCCTTGTGGTAGATTCCCTCGAGACTGCGGATCAACTGGACGCTCATCACTAACGCTAGGTCCCATGTGATCGTGCCCTTGATGACCCCCATCTGTGTGACGACCTTGACGCTGATCACCCTGAGGTACAAACCCTTGTCCATATACAGGAGGTAGAACTTCTTGAGGTACATTAGGTCCTTGGGGTAGAACTCCTTGTCCATGCGCTGAAGGCGGAACTTCTTGGGGTACATTAGGTCCTTGGGGTAGAACTCCTTGTCCATGCGCTGACGGTGGAACTTCTTGGGGTACAGTAGGCCCTTGTGGTAGAACTCCTTGTCCATGCGCTGACGGTGGAACTTCTTGGGGTACATTAGGCCCTTGTGGTAGATTATCAACTGCTGGTACGGAAGCCTGATCTCCTCTTGGTACCCTAGGCCCTTGTGGTAGATTCCCTTGAGACTGCGGATCAACTGGAAGCTCAGGCCTTCGCCAAGCCTCGCGCTCAGCTCTCAGCCTCAAGACTTCACGTTCCAGACGCAACATGTGTTCTTGGTGTCTAGTGGTGTACTCCTCCATCTGGCGTTGAACCTCTTGCTGCAACCTCGAAGATCTTTCGCTCTCCACTTCTGACCCAGGCCCATAAATCACAGGATTGTCACGCACCGCCTGTCTCATATGTTCAACCTGAACCCGATTGAACAAAGGAGGCTCCTCTTCTCTCACTCCGGCCGACGCCCATGAAAGCGGTACAGGAGGTGGAGGGGGTGGCCCTGGAAGCTCTTCTGGCGGAGAGAAGTTGATTTGTTGCAAATCGCTCCTTGCTTCAGTCCGTAGAACCGACCCTTGACCTCCATGATGAATGCCAAAAGAATCCAGCATCCTGTCCATCCCATGCGCACTTCTAGTCGCCGTTGTCCGAAGAAACTCTGTGAACCTCGCCATCCACCTTACGCCTTGCTGCTCTTGTCCCACACCCGAAGTTCTACTTTCTGCCGAAAAGAACTCTTGCACCCTCATCGCGCTCCTTGGGGTCTGAGGAGTCCCCACATTTCTCCCACGCACTTGCGAAAGAGGCTCTGGTTGCCCAGGTGCTTGCAGCAAGCCTTGGCGCAGTCCTTGTTCATACGGTGGATGAACTTGACCTTGCATTTCCAAAGCCATAGCCCTCTGAGGTCCTGTAGGTTGCTGGATCACAGTAGGCGGAGCTGGATCAAACAGGTTTGGATTCTCCTGCAGATCTCTACTTGCTCCAACTTCCACAGTTGTTCGAAGCCCAGCACCCACCCCATTTGGCAAGTTCGCTGCTGCATCTGGCAAACCATTCCTTGAAGTACTCGCGGAGTTGCTTTCGCTAGCTTGGGCGTACATAACCTGCTGAACTTCTTTGAAGTACCACTTCTCGAATTTGTGTTGTAGGGCAGCTTCCAGAAGGATTTATGCAGCTAGCACCGCACCGACCATGAAGCAGGAACCCTTCACGCGACTCTTTTTACAAGCAAGGACATGGCACTGTGCTAGATCTGCAGTTCACACGCATGGCCTATGAGGCTCTTGTACATTGCATGCCGACTGCTCGTGATGCCTAGTCCGCTAAGCTTGCAGTGCTTTAGCCAAAACAAACCAGCGCATTCTGCACACTCCAAGAGGAAACGCATATTCTGCATCTAGGTATCGACTTGGTATAATTTTCAATGTCGCTTTCTGTTTCATATAGAGCCCTAATTATGACTGGCTTTGGGGACTGGAAATCGACACCTAGAGTAAAATTGCACTTTTCCCTCTTTGTTTCATATAGAGCCCTAGATCATTGGATGTGTTCGCTTCGTAGCTTTTCCGTGGCGAAGCGCGCCCGTCGGCGGCTTGCATCAGATCTGTTTCAGGGAGGATCAAGTGTATACTCATATTTGGGTGGTTGTCAAAATGATAGCCCCTTTCTGGGTACCCTAAGTATTAGGTGCCGTATTATAACAAGGACCCCAAAAGCGACCCTAATTTTTGACAGCCACCCATTTGATAAAGGCTATGGCACATGGCAGTTGGAGAAGATCCTGCGTAGTCCTCGCCGAAGCGAGTCCGATGCTGTTGCTGTTGCCTTACATTCCCATAGTCCTTTGCACCATTTTGTCTAAAAGTGCAGCAGCACTTCTAGCAGGCCGGAATGCGAAAACCTGTTTTATAAGACTCTTCGATTGCTGGGTTTCTCAGTGCACTTACTTGCGACGTGCTTTATGCATCAATCCATCACCCTGGCTTTTATGCCGACATATAGTGATGTGTTGTTGTGCGAATGTAATACATTGTACTGCATGGGGGTGTATGGTAACATGCTCACCATGATGTGCTGAAGCAGGTGGAAGCGGCAGTGAATGACATCAAAATGTTCCCAAGCTGAGATTTATTTTCGATTCCATTCGGGCTGTTTTGTCGAAGGGTGCGGCTACCATTGCATTCCCATGCGTCTTTTGCAATCTGCACGGTCACGTTTGCATGTCGCCTTGATCAGTTTGGACAAGCTTGCTCGATTGAACTTAGTATAGGGGTCTTAAGAATTACCTATAATGTTTTGGGGGGTTCCTAGTCTACAGGAGCCCACAAGCCCATTCTAATTATTAAGGCCCCTACATGAATTATTTCGCCAGGGTCCTGCCATCGGACAGCACCCTGAATCCGTAAGCCATTCTACCACTCCGACAGCGTTTGCGACGACGGCTTTGTGTGGGCTAGCGCTGCACGCACTGATTTGACGGAATATTGAAAGCCTTAATCCAAGGATTGAAAACATTGCACGGGAGATGGCTTGGGCCTCGGGCATGTGTTACAGCATATGTTGTAGTTCCGGGTTATGTGTTTTGTAGTGTGGAGTTTGTCTGTACGTTTTGGGGCTTGGGGCATTGGCATTTACAGGTCATACTAGCGACGGCAACTATCAAAGTCACAACAACCCGATAGACCCCTTCGAGTTTTATGGGGATGCTTTTTTGCTGAAGGATTTGTCATGGGTTTCTGAACCAATCGCTTTGTTACACAGACATGCACCAGGAAACGGATAGTTGGGCTCACACACACAAGCTTTCATACGCGTTTGAATGCCTCCTCCCTCTCGCTTTCTCTCGTCCCTCATTCTCCACACACACATGCTTGGCATTTTCCGCAGGCTTTATGTGTGCATGTGGGCGTGTGTATTTGTGTGTGCGTGCGAGTGAAGTGCTACAGGGTGATACCGATAGTATGAGCATTGGCGTACGGAATTGTACGGAGTTCAGCCACTGGCTTGTCTTTGGACTGGTGGTTCGTGGCTTACAGCACTTCCGATCCCGGAAACCTGGAACACAGATTCGCACTTCAGCAGTCAGTGTTTCCTCATCAAATTGATAGTTTGCGCGGGCGTAGGGTCTTCTCCGGTACTTGGGTGATGGTTTTCAACCGTTTCATGCCGACGAAAATTATCTGGCCTTTCCCGCTCAATGAGACCGTGTCTTGTCTAGGTCCCGAGTTGTGGTGCACTGCTTGCTAAAATTCCGTTTGCCGGCCAGTGTCCGATAGTCAACACAGAAGCCGACCACCAGCAGGTACCAGCATTCAGGGTCAATGGAACCCAGCGCTAAGCTGAATTTTGAACACACACACACAAACCGTAAGCAGTGAAGCCCCAGTATGCGGCACAGGCTCGACCTCCCTCCCTGTCGGTTCTGGAGAGGAAGGGCCCCATGAGTGGCCGACCCAGTTGGAGGGGTGTTGAACCAGGCTTCCTAAATGGATTTGGGACTTGGTAGCCTACCCTTCTGGGGCTTGCTTGTCCATCCCAGCAGTTAATGGGCGCATGTGTGCTCAGCTATGCCGGTGGCGCACACTGCACCAGACCCCGAATACTAGGCTTCAGGCCCACTCCCTGGACTTAAAACCAAAGCCCGGGCCTGCCTAAAACCCGTAAGTTCACGATTTGCCAATAGCCGTTCGGCTCAAGTCGCGGCCCATTCCATTCCTGCCTTTGCAGGGACCAGGTCGGGCGTCTGGGCTTCAGCTCCTTCCGCTGCGGTAAGAGAGGGCACCCTAAGCATGAGTTTGCACCAATGACCGGCCACATCCCGCGACAAACTCCCAACCGAATGTTCAAACTTCGCATGACCTTGCAGACCTCAGCCGATACTGTGGCAGGTGGAGAGTCCATCCATCGTGCGGGGTGATGGCGCGAATCGGCGTGTCTCGACAGAATGTGTGCGCGCGGGTCCTTCCCGGTCTACCGACTTACTGGCGTGCCTGGGCCTTCTGTCGAGCAGACAGAACACACGGACTAGTCACGTCAGAAAATGGTGGTAGCCGTGAGTCTGCATGCAGGAAATTAAATGCAGGGTATACTAGACGATACAAAAGGCCAGTTAGTTAGATACCGACGGCATAGTCACTGGCAGGCAGCTTGGTGGCGTAGGTGGGACTTAGCATGGCTTCCTTCAAGTTACTGAAGCAGAAACTTGCATGCAAGGCCCTAAGTTATGTTATGGGGATATCCCTACCTTAATGGGCTTCATTATGAGGATCTTATTTGGGATATCCCTATCCTTGTTTTTGCTTATGTGCTTTTGGGGGCCCTACTAAGATGCCCCAAACTCCAGCCAGCAAAGCCGACTTGAAAGCTCTGTGTTCTTTCGGGCTTGTCCTGGGGTTTCCTGGATTTCCTGCGCCAGAACCTACTACAGGGGCCTAAGTAATTGACAGGACTATTTTGAGGGTTCCTTTTGATATTTACAGTAAAATGGGCCGCAAAACCCCATTCTGATAAAGGCCCCAAAAGTACCAGAAGCTTTCTGAAAGGTCGCCAACTACCAGCACTCCACAGCAACGCCCGTCCTCCAAGACAAGTATTGGCGAGAGAGCTGACAGCTCAGCCTGCATCGCATTCGGAAGTACTCATGTAGGAGCCTTAATAAATATACTAGGGTTTGGGGAGGTTCCTTACTATAGTTAAAGTATAATGTACCCCAAACCCTATACAACTTATGAAGGCCCCTACATACCTTGGAAATATCTGATAAGTCCAAGCCACACATACGCTTTGCGATGAAAGCCTACTATACTTTGAGGCCCCTACTTCAACACTAGACACCAGGCATAGATTGATTGCTTGGGACCTGAGCTTATGGTTTCAATGCTTGGAAGTATGAATAGCTGAAAGCCCTGAAACCTCTTGAGGCTGCATGCCTGCAGACAGGAGCGACGTATATTCGGATAGGTAGGATGCTAGGAGAGCTTCTGAGATGCTGGCAAAATCAGGAATGGGTATGCTCCAAACTTGGTATTTCCCAGCGGGTGGGGGTTTGGGGGGGTTGCAGAAGCCACGATGACAGCCGCCCTCAAACCTCTCAAACATCAACGAGCTCCCATGACCTCCTTGATTCATCTGCTTAAGAACTTCATTGCCTCGTAGCAAAGATCTTCTCTCATGCGGGCATGTGCGCTGGATAAAAGCCTGTCGATCGGGTCCAGCATCCAGAAGCTCCGGACAGGAAAGCCCAAACAACGAACATCATAAACCCTGAACCTTCACCCTAAACCCTACAAACGCCTCGCCTGGATTGTCCGAGTGTGAGCGCCGAAGCCGTGCAAACCTTAAACTCTGAAAGCCCAGAACCTTCAACCCCAAAGCCTTCAACCCGAAACCCTGAAAACCCCAAATGAAACCTTGAACCTTGTACCTCTAATGCCTATAAACCTCGTAAGCCTTCGAAACCTCATGAGCCCAAGAAGCCCCCAAGAAAACCTATAAAACCCATAAAAACCCTGTACAAACCTTGTATATAACCCTGTTAAACCCTTATAAAAAACTATAACAACCCTATAATAAAACCTTAGTAAACCCTACAATAAGCAAAAATCTCTCTCAACTCAGCTCTGGAACGTGGGCAGCGGGACCACGCCTTCAGCGTCTTCAACGACCCCTTTCCAAAGGCTCCGGGGCCCGACGCGTAGGGTTTTAGGGGCCCAAAAAGCACACATAAGCATGAGCATCTTATAGTGATATCCCTTACTTATTCCCACTGGTGCGATGTAAGATGGTTACTATAGGGGCCTCAATAATTACCTATACAATTTTAGGGGTTCCTGATTATAGCTATATCGTGTAAAGGGGCCAACAACACTATTCTAATGATCAAGGCCCATGTATTAGACTCCATCATGCCCCAGCCTACCCAGAAGTACAGCCGCGCAGTTGAGTTTTCTGATAGCTAGCAGATGACAGCCCATCGTGAATGCAGAACTGTCCTTCATGTCCAGTGCTGACGACCTCCTGAACCTCCCACAGGCCAGCTACGCGTATCTGAACACCACGTCGAATGACTTCTTGGGGAGAACATGGCAGGTGCAGCACTGAGTGTCTTAGTTTTGGTGGGCAATGGCTGCGGGGGTAACTGCGAACCCAAACTCTAAAGCTTAGACCGAAAATGTAAAGGTCTGCAGCCCAACACAGGTCTGATTTCACGCGTTGCTTGGAGCTTCATGCTTTTTATTCAACAGGCTGGGTTCGTGCCACGGTTCCGTGGGCTCAGCCGGGGGTCGAAGCCGACGAGATCAGAGAGAGTCTTCGAGAAGTTTCGATCCCGCACCGGTTTTGGGGCTTCGGGCGTTGAGGTCAGAGGTTGCGGTTCAAACATGCTCGCAGCATATCTTGGTAGCCTTCGAGGTTTCGTTTCCTGTGGCGTGGCGAGGAGGGTCCCAAAACTCCAATTCAAACCGTATCTGTTTTAGGTGCCCCATGTGTCAGATGCTTGCCACGCAGGTCCTGCATCACACAAAGAGTGCTGCTGCTGGCAAGCTTCTCGACCGCAGAAATAATCATGTCCATGCCGAAGCAGAACATAAGGCTGGATTACTGGCCTTACTCTATGACAAGTGTGTGAATGCTAAGGAAGCCTTGAATGCTCACCACAGCTCTGATTCGTGCTAGTTACGACTTCGATTATCCCGAAGGTAGCAGGGTTCCATTCCAGGCATGTGTTCAAGGTTCTGGTTCAAAAGAAGGGTAGTGATAGGTAGCTTAGAGATTGAGGAAGCGCAACCGGAGACATCGCTAGCTAGATGCAACTGCTACTGGAGTGTTTCGAGCCTTTCTTCTAGGACCTAGGAGGTTGGAGGTCCAGGGTATTTTGCTTCTGACAGTGGTAGTTGTCGGAAGCAGTACACGAACGAGATTAAACACTCAAATATGTTTCAACATGAACAAGCTTGAGGGCGGACCCGGTAGAGGCGCTGCAGACCGGATGCAAAAAGTACAAGAACGAACCAGAATACGTATAGAAGGAGAAGAATAGCAATAGTTGTCCAGCAAAGTCACGAACAGCAATCTTTTCGCATCACTAGTGCTCGAATTTTCTAGTCGTTCTGTCCGCAGCCATATCAAAACAGAAACATCACCAACGCACCACGGTCATAAGTCATAAGCACAGCAGGTCTCTAAACATCGTAATAAGACAGCCGATGACAATCGAGTTATGAACAAACGAGTCCGATGACAGCCGCGGCCAGCAAGAGTTCCGTGAGGTGTAGCTTTCACCACAACGTGGCCAAGCCGATGACAAACGCAGTGAAGGCCGACCGGCACACTTGGGGGCACGTTTGAGATGTAGTCAAGTTCCCTGCGTGGATGAAGAACGTGGCCTTCAGCAGCTTTCGCTTGGGTGCAACTTTCAGAATTCTGTTTTGATGACATCGGTCAAGCATTGTCAGATGCAGTACAACTTCCTTGTGATTAACATCAGTCTCACACAAAATCATCTTGATTCAAATCTTTCAGTCATTTCGAGAGTGGCGGGGGGACTTCTTGAGTTGTCCACTGCTGCATCCTTTGAAGTCATACCTGATGAGTGGCACGGCAGACTTGAAGGTTTGCTTTAGGCGCTCATTTACTTCCCAGCAGAGGCTTTGCAGGCTGGATGCAAAAAGTCTAGTTCCCACAACAGGGCCTCCTTTGTTGTTACAGGTTTGTTTTTGCATCCTAATCACCAGCCACTGCAACTGCAGAGCCATAGGTGTCAGAGCCTCCCCTCTCGTGTAGATGTGTCCGGTTCTTCCGTGATGGAGACACCTCTCAACTGTTCCACCAAAGCCTATTTCTTGAGTTTCTTAGATACGGACAGTATCCAACGAACACCCTGTGCTCTAGATGTTGATGTGTTTATGCGTGCGCATTCTCAAGTTCCACCTTCCATGTATCTCGGCTTTGGTTGACGATGTGGGCAATGCAAAAGTACAAGGTCCACAAGTTGTTCATCCCTTCCTTAATGTGGCGGCTTAAGCACCCGAGTTTAAGATCACGGTCGACCTCCATTGCGAAAGTCAGATCAGATCTGGGGCCTAATGTACGGGCCTTAATAATTAGAGCAGGGTTTTAGGGGCTACTTGGTATAATTATGATAGCTATAATATACCCAAAACCCTATTCTAATTATTAAGGCCCCTACATTAGACAGCTCAAACGAATCCCGGAATAGCTTGAGTGGCTACCATAGGCCTTCCAACCTGCAGGGTTTAGAACACAGACCTGCGGCAGGGCCAAACCTGAACGGTGTCATAAACCGCTTGATGGGAATGGCGCGAACATCGTTGTCCTGTGCAGGGTTGTAACCAAACGAACGAAGCACGGTGACCCCTGGCTAACTCATCAGTCTCAGCCCAGCACCCTACCAAGCATCTTGGCCCGACGGCCACGTTGAATCTTG